TATCTAATATCTTCTCATTGTGAGAGTGCCATGGAGAGTGCCCATGTCGCGCATATGTGCCCGTCCACATGCTCCACAAGCAAATGCACATGTAGTTAAATAAATAAGGAGAGGAAATTCATGCCGAGAGGTAGAATACGTCGCGGACAGAGCGACGCAGCGGCGTCCATCAACACGCACCCAGACCGTCGACCGCCGCCCCCCGGCCCCCTTAGGCCTCACATCTCCGCGCTGGGCAGGTGGTTGCCGGGCAGCGTGTTGCCGAGCGAAGCGCGGCTGCGGCGCGCGGTGACGCCGGTGCGGTTGCGCCAGAAGAGCTCCGCCTCGCTCGCCGGCCGGTCGCTGGTGAGCTTGCGGTAGTAGTCGCACAGCACGCGGACGGTCTTCTCGACGCTCGGGTGGCCGCTCGCCTGCGTGCTGGGGAGCGGGTCACCTCTACCGCGAAGTCGGGAGCAGGGAGGGAGGCGGAGGCTCGCCGCGTGCACGGCGGTGAGCCACTGCAGCTGGAAGTCAAAGACGGCGAGCTGCTTCTCCTTCTTCGGGATGAAGCCCGCGCGCGTGCCGCTGTGGCAGTGCAGGCAGCGGATCACCTGAGGGCGGGCAGCGGTCTCAGCGAGGTCAAGGGCTTGGCGATCGATCCGCCGGCGGTAGCGCCTTGAAGATGAGCTTCTTCACGAGCGGCGCCTCCGAGTTGGCCACGTACACCAGGTGCCGCAGCACCTCGCCCGCATCAGAGAAGAGGTACGCAGACGCCATCTCGTCCAGCCAGTCAAAGTGGTCAAAGTAGAGCGGCCAGCTGTGCTCCACCAGCGCGCCGTAGCAGCCCGCGCACGCCGGCGGGTGCGGCCACCGCTTGAGCTCCTCCTTGATCGTCATCGCGTTGGAGCCGCCAGGCCGCATCAGGTTCCGCTGCGCGAGCGGCGCAGCCTTCGCCGGCAGGGCTCCGCCTGCCCTCCCAGCCGACGCTTCCTTCCTGCGGCAGGCATGCCCTGCAGGCTCCTTTGCCGGCTCGTCACAACCGTGCGCCGCCGCCGCCTCCTCGCGCGCCTTGCGAGCCGCGAGAAGCGCCTTCGACTTCTCTCGCACAGGGTCCGGGATGCCCTCCGCCTCCATTCGCTCGGCGCGGGCGACCCGCTCCTGCACCTTGGCCTTGGCCTTGGCCCACTCGCGCGCCTCCCAATCACGCACAACGCTCTTGTTCTGCTCGCGGAGGATGTGCACGAGCTGGCGATATCCAGTCTTTGGATCGAGCGATGTCGCGGCTTCGGAGGCGGACGCTTTTGGTGTCGACGGTGGCGAGGACGGCAGAGAGGATGGCGGCGCTGACGGTGAGACACGGCGACGGCGACGGCGTTCGCTGATGAAAAGGGCGAGAACCACGGCGCTCGTAGCGGAGACGAGCACCAGCGATCGGCCCATGTACATAACCGGCTTCAGTTGCCCGGGCGGGAAGAGGTTTGGTGATCTGTGATCTGTATAAAGGGTCCGCCCG